TCATATGTATTCTTGCACTTTGTAGCTGATAATCTGAATTAGGAAGGTTTTACTCAGAAAATTTCATTGCATTGGGATCCAGAACGACTCTATATTGTGAGGTTTAAAATTAAGACTAATAGGCTCAGTGTCTATGAGAAAGCCATGAAGGACGAACTGTCACATCATTTGTTGAACAGGTAGCGATAAAACCATTTTGTAGTCTATCGTTTAATCGCAATTCAGCTTTCTAACTGGAAATATTACTTCAAAACGTTGAAGATGGACGTTTGCCAATAAATCATAAACATCAAATTATGTCTGCTACATATAGAAAATAAAAAACGTGGTTTGTTGAAGGAATCCACTATCACCTTGTTAACAACTTTCACCCCATAGAAGGAACTCGTGGCCCCAGTAACTGAATCACTCTGTCCACCTAAATAAAAAGTCGAAATGTTTCCTGAGTAAATCTTACATTACTCGCGGCCAAATAGTCTAAAATATCATTCCTCGGGAATTAAAGTTGATAAATATGATAATATTTCCCAGCTGCATATTTCCTAAAACGTTGGTGTGGACACATCGAATCTGAAAAAGGAGATTGCACAAATGCATCCTAAAGACCTTTCAACGTAAAATGAATACGTTTATCACTGGATTAGATTATCACCGTAAATTCATTGACTGGATTATACCAGGTATTGACCGAATTATATCTAAAGATGATGATATGTGCATTAACACAGATGTGTTAAATCCACATGACTAGATACCCATATTGAAATACAAGATCTGAGGAACCGTGTGTTCACCAAATAGATCACTCCATATCTATTGGTCAATTTCAACTCAGCTGCATAATTAACTAGCAGGCCATAAATATAAAATTTTTAGCGTTTCTTTGTTTAGTCGCCTGTTGTCTGCCAATAATTTTAATTGTTATATCAATCTATAAATATTTGAAACGTGTTGAGTGGTCAAAGCCTTAGCAGTCTTGACTCGTTTCAGTATAATACAAATGTAACAAATCTGTTGCAGTTTCTGTATTTGTTTTTTCAATAGAATTGTTAGTGGTTCTAATATCGGCGTCAATATTCATTGACCCCGATGACGAGGAGGTGTGATGTCGGTATTAATTCAGTGCTAATACCATTTCGATCCAGCTGTGTTCACTCAGCTTCATCATATTCTTATTCTGTTTAATAATACTGCGCATATCTGTTAACTTCATCGTCTGAATATGCAATATGTAATGTGATTGTTTTATATTTAATTTCACTAACGAACCAATTAGTTATTTGTGTGAATTCAACTTCAGTTCTATTATTGAGTCACGTATTTCCGTCATGCGTATCAGACAGGTGTTTCGTTTAATTCAAGGGAGCACGTTTCTCCTTGATATACTGATCAAATGAAATATATTTTTTAAAAGTTTGGCTCAATCATCTGGAGAACGTTGATTTATATTTATAGGTGGGTTTGTGCACATATTTTGATTAGGAACCTTCAACAAATCTTCTTAAATTTGATATGACTATCAAAGTTAATCGAAAAAAGCTGGTTACAACAATTTTGTAGATCCATAACTACTATTCTTCTCCCAACCTCTTATCACCTGTCCTACTTGCAACATCAATTGCCGCTTTTTGAGAATACTTTATTCTAAGTTAGCATCAAAAATATTAATAGATGTTCTACAATACAAGGACGATAGAGTTAGTGATGAAATTGAATATTGGAAACCAATATGACCTCAGCGGCTTATCTAGTTTTGGTTTCTTATGTTATCGCTATTGCTTCTCATAGCTGTAAGTTATGACTCGTTTCTTTTTAATGCATACTTTTGTGAATCTGCATAAGCTTTTGTACTCAAGTGTTACGCCTATAGGCACAATTATAATTTTTTCATGGAATCTCATCCTCCGTCGATTTTCACACTTCTCAAAAATATTCAGTTAGTTGGCTTTTCTAACATAGAATTACCTACCGAATTCAATTGATGATTGTGTTCTTTTGACAGTACGGTTGTTTTATAATCCAGCGATCTGCATGATTTATTGTAATCTACTACTGAAAAGCATACTGTGATTATACGTCGTTCAACACTTAATAAAACTACAGGTTACGGCGAACTGTTAAAAAATATCAGGTAGCGTTCTGAGATTAAATACGATTTTGACCCACCTTGTAACAAATCCTTTGAGATGACTCCTCTGTCACGCGACGTCAGGGATTGACCTCACTGGCGATATGCTTATGGTATTTAGGATTGCAAATGAAATTTTTTTATTTAGTAAGAATGCTGACGAGACCCACTATTCCGAAGATCTTAAGTAACGTGGTCGTGTCTGAGATATGCTTCTCTCTATAAATCTAAATATTGATTAGTTCAGATCTGGATCAACGCCTTTTTTGATCACGGTAAAGGACTAGGGGAGTACATTGGTCATTCCTCTTCCTGTGGGTTCTTTGCCTACGATGTCTTAGTAACCGCACAGAAAGCTCCTCTAACTTTCAATAAATAGCTGTGGCAACGTGGACGTGTCTATGAATAGATAACAATACGGCTGTCTTATTGCACGGCTGAAAAACGTGACCTATGAAGATAGGACATTCGCAGTTGTTAGACACGATGTATTATAGTTCTCAGGTCATAATTCATTGAGAGCTATCACTGTCTATCATTAATATGTCACTTGAAGTTTTTATAATAACCTAGAATCGACTTAGTTTATACTATAATCCCCTCTTGATGGCACCGATGGGTATATAACTACTGCCCTTTTCGTAGCGTTTCAGAGGTGAACAGTTTTGTTGTCCCAAACGAATTACTGTAAGCGAATCAGTTTTGGTCACCGTTTTAGCCCAATAACGAACGTATGGTTTTAGCGTGAATTATTGATCTACTGAGAAGCAAAGATCAGTGATAAGTTTTAAACAAAGGAATGACATGAGGATATGAAATAAATTTACTTACGAAATTACGAAGCAGTTCCGTTATAAGCACAAGCTTATTACGTCTCGAAGTTCGTTGATCTTTTCTGGTGGGTCACGAGTACCAGTACGCACGTGAAAAATTTATCGAAACTCAATTTAAGACCACGAAAGTTGGTGAACACTGTATTTAACCTGTTGAAAACATCGATTGCAGATGATAACTGCTATGCACCATTTATACTCATTTTAGCGACTAAAAATAAACAGTGTGTTAATGAAATAGTATGTAGTGTTGATGAAACTCCATTCCACATCCGTCTGAGACGCCTCAGGGACTCTGAAGGACAATATAACTCACCCGTTGATGTAGAAACTTCAACCTAACATGTGTTTCTTGATCCTTAACTACTGATATGCTTAAAAGAGAGACCCAAAAGGGAATCCAGTTCCCAGAGACTTATAAGCTACTCAGCCCTTTCCATATATGATAGCGAACTTCTAGTCCCAGATGTGATTGAATGTGGAAGACTCAGTGTGACGTGTTCCTGGAATATAACATTTGTCGTAACTACCTGTTAACTAATTTGAGGTGAGAAAAATGTTAGGTTTTTCATCTGACTATGTTCGTTTCTCAGGAAATATGTGGCCTTATCTGTTAGGCTCGATCATGAATCTGTATGAGTTTTTTATATGAGGCGAATGACTGGGTTATTTTATCATAACAATATACTGCATTAAATGCTGATATACTGTATATATTATTATTATGTTCTATAGTGTTATCTGCGTACATAATCACTTAATGTAGCTAATGTATATGATGGAATCATTGAGATAGTAATTAAATGAGTTATGTCTTAATAGTACGTAGGAATTTGAGATTTTAAATTGTAAATCATCTCCAGATTCAGTTTGAAAGTGTATCTATACAATAAAGACAGAGGTATCAATAGAGTTGTTCAGCCTAAGTAAATGAAATCGTTGAAAGGTGAATCATTACTGAATTATAGTTGCTCTTCAAGGACAATGGTTTTATTCGTTATTTCAGTCTTTTGTGCTGAAAATAGTTATGGAACTAATGATTATTTACTTTTATATAACATTCCTTTACAATACATGCGGATAATTAAAGTTCGCATTATTGCAGCTATTATATAATAGAGTGCACTTTGTATTTTCCAATGGCACATAATTTATGAAAATTGTCGCCCTACTATTCCTTGCAAATTAGTTTAAAATTCGTCACTTTAAGTTATTGGGCGTAGGGACATTTCACTAGTAACTGAGATCAGTATATTGTTTAAACTAACCATACCTTACCATCATCACAATGTTTTCATTTGATTATGGTAGCTAGATCACTTCTGATTATGTTTATTATGCAATAGGAATTGTTATCCCATGTGTTCACTTATCATGACAGTCTGATCTCAACAAATCTTTTATGAGGTTTGCCATTTGCTACGTTTTCGAACGTATTGTTTTTGATTAACTATGTTGCCTTGTCACTAATAATCACATGTGAAATATAAACTGTATGGTAAAGTCATTTAATTAAAAAAAACGGTTTCGGATGTGCCGACAGATCAAGCATTTTTGTGAAGAATAAGTTTATTTACCACCTAATTTACTGGATGAAAAAACTAAGTACGCAAGAAATTACTATGCGTATTGTTTGTTCTTGGCATCAGCTAGAAGTTTCTGCTATATCGAAAAATTCAGACGTAGCTAAGTAGTGAAATTTTAGGTCTAGTGTTAATTTTAAAACTGTCTGTCAGTTATCTGGGGAACTATAGAATCTTCAGAATAAGCTGACTACAAAAACCTAATGTGTAAGTTATTTAGTTATCTTAGTATAACTGGAGAGAATGAAGTTTTATTCACAACATTATCTAGCAGACAATGATGATGCATTTTGTAAGACAATTCACAGTTAAGTAGAATCAAAAAAATTTTGAAAGGATTGATGTACAGGGATGTAGGAAAGTGGATTTAATTGCTTGTTATAGACAGCAAAAGATCTGAGCACAATTGAATCAAAATATTTTTTCTTTTCCCAGGTCAATTTACAGACTTAACTCATGCCAAAGCATCAAAGTGTTTGTCGAAGGCGTACTCTCTCATTTGCTGATATCACAGAAGTAAGACATTAGATATTTAAATGTGATGTGCGTTTGCTAGTGTTCTTTTCAGTAACTTTAGTAACATGGTTTTATTGATTGTATGACGTATATCATTGTTACCATATTGGTCATTACGATTGCATGAGTGAACCTCAATATTGCTAACTCTGGTCTACATTTTTATGTCACATTTCTGTTCTCGTTTTATTTCAACCGGCTCTATAAAATTCTCAGACTTTGATTATGTATTAGTGATTATATCCATATCCACCAGCCTGGTTGATCTGCGTAGTATAACTAGCTATAACACCTTAAGTGTGACTTATAGCCAAGTAAACAGACCTGTACCATTACGCATAGTGGTGGCTAGGCTATCAATGTTCTAAACACAGTTACTGAAGCTTCACAATGTCATTAATCAATTTACAGATTCAGTCTGGTAGACTATGACTAAAGTCAGTTTAGCTAACTTGGTTACACTATACGAAATCAAATTATTGGGACTTACGCATATTTACTTTCATATACCATTGTCATAAAATATCACAGAATCAAGCACTACTCAGTATAGTTGCTCTTTGACTAGAAGATGGATCATTAGGTACATATATGACAGTAGGTATATTATTTTAACGATTTGATTGAGTAACTACTTTTATAAGATTATTTGTCTGTTTAGCTTGTGTTCATGCTTTTTTCACACTTAGTGCCGCAGAATCAATCGTATAAATGTAAGTGAAAATCATGATATTGATTCATCAAAATTATTCGTCGGTAGCATGGTACGCCGTCCTTCTTTCACGCTTTTGGAAGATTACCAAAATTCATCTCATGAACTGCCTTATCTTACATTGAAAGACTCTAATTCTCAATTTAAAAGTGCCTGCGAATCCACTGAAATGAATGATTCATTGAAACCAAATCCGATTGCTCAACCTGCTTTGGATCCGTTTATTTTCGGTGTATCATTTACTGAATCAAATTCCGCCAATGCCCACCTTGATGCTATACAATTATCTAAAATGCATAATAATTCACTAGGTTCTACAAACTTACCCCCCTTAAAAGATAAAGAATATCTATTTCCTTCATCACCCTTATCCTCAACTTTGATCAAATTATATCTATCCAAGGTAATTGAATTTTCATACACATAGTTCCCTTAATCATTTTGAATTTATTTGTTTTATCGTTGTAAAGGACGATAGCTAGTAATGTTGTTTATATAACCAAAACTTTAACATAATTTATGGTCAAGGTTATATTTATGGGGTGAGATCATATATTCACACAAATTGATCAGTAAACGGTAGCTTATGTAACATTTTAATCTTTGGAATAGATTGGATTTCTTCTACCAAGAAATTCTTTAAAAGCGTCAAAATATGTCTCAGAATTGTAGTATGTTTCAAATGGTATAGGTTAGTTTGTGGAAGTTGCTAAAATATTGTGCAACTAAGTTTCATGTCTGGTACCATTTATTAACCCCGTTTATTCGTGTTGATATTGATCGGCAATCTAAACCTGTACTGTACTTCAATAACATTATATTGAGATTTTTATGTTCATTTATGATTGACACTTACAACCTTGATATTATATCTAATTAATTCATAATATCTATAATTATTTCTCATGATTATTTTGTTTTTATCATCTGGTTTTAATAACTATTTGTAGTGGATTTTAGAGGATGCTTGTAGTTGCAACTTTACAATTTACTTTTGTTACGTTTCATTGATTTCTTGATATACTGTGTATAATGTTCAGTCACTTATTATACTGATTTGTAGTATTCTAGGTTTAAACATTTTAATCACATCAATTGTTTATTTGATGGAGTACAATAAATTTGTTAATGTGGGTTAGATATTTTTATCGTAGAAGTGATCATGAGATAGTGCTTTTATTTTTCTGGCTTCCGGTTAACTTTAAATTTTTCAGTGTTAGTTACAACAACAACAATAACAACCAGTGTTATTGTAGGAATACTTGGTGATTGGATGATGCTAAACTGAAAGAATAACACGAAATCATTTGGAATGTTCAGTTAAACCGTGAATATATACAGGGAACTCCGTAACTAATCTCTTACAGGTAGTGCATATTTTCTATCGTATTTTACGGCTTACACCTTTTGTAACACAGTAAGAACAAAATATTCACTCCACTTGACTTTGATTTATAATCTTTTCTCAATTAATAACCGAATTTCCAGTAAATGTTTGAAAAGTTTAAATTTAAAGTTTCTATTTACTTTTAACAAACTAGTGATTGTTGTCAGAGTTTATTCAGTATTATTATGGTTTTCAATGTTTTTTTAATTATCAGGTCTCTTTATGCTCATCTACAGAAACAACGGAAAGTAATTTAAATTCGGATGATGAACAACTTGACTTTCATAGCAATATATATCCAAATTTGATTGGTCTACCTGGATGCTTACAAACTGTATTACATTCATTAGCTTCTATGGTTATGCCTACTAGACATTTTATTAGTATGAATACAACTAATGAAATCAAGTCATCGAATTTAACAAGATTATCTTCATTAAATGAGAATTTTAAAATTTATCACTTAAAATGTCATCATACTGATGGAAGTGCATATAATACAGATGTCAACTATTCAAGTTGTACTGAGTCTTCAAGTATATTAGATGATGTTTCAAATGGTTATTACTCAGATAATTATCTTCTTGAAGCAGCTAAAAAATTGAAAAAATCTAATATGATAAATAATCATTGGCCAACTGTAAAATATAATCAGCATCAGTCTAGTCAAATCTCTTTACTTTCAGGTAAATCTATTTCCACATACATTTTAATATTGTCTTTCTTAAAATTTCGATCAACTATTATGGGATATTTATTAATTTGTAATAGTTTTTTTTAACTAACCTTATCATGACCATTAACGTCATGGTTAATTTATAGAATTTCAACTTAAGATTTTACATTCTAGTGTGTTCTTGTTTTATCAGTAATTGTATAGAATCTTCATTAAATTTGTAACAAGCTTTAGGAATTTTAGATATCTGATTATCAATATCTGTGAAGCAACGTTCTTAATATTACTCTCAAGAATATCATATACATTAACGGTGAATCTATGGAAAACAGCCGTATCAATATAATAGTTAGTTAATGTAATTCAATAACCAATTATGGGTTAATGTCTACTCGGCTGTGGGCTATATCTTTCGCATGTTCATTAATGAATGATTCTATCCAGTGGAAGAGATTGTGTGAATTTTAATTTCAGTGGTTGAAATACAAGTCTTGTAACTAGTATTCTTACGGTCTTAAAATAACTTAATGCGTTCAAGATGGTTTCGTTTATTAACTTCTATAAATTGACACTATATTTATTGTCGTATTCAGTGCTCACTGTTGATTAGTATCAGTGCTGAAAATGAGTTATTTAAGCGTTATTTTATTTCTTATGTAGCTCAATCTCTTACTGGTCTTTTAAGCATTGTAATATAATTCTTATCTATTTTTGCAGTAAATGAGTATATGGGTGAGTCAGTGTTTATTAGCAGTTTGGTTTTTATTTTCTCTCTTTTTAGGAGGACAAATGATCGGGACAGTGTATTCGTAACTTAAGAAGGTCTTCTTACCATCGCTGATACTTTCACACAATTTCATCCTACTAATTCTACCATTGTTGTAACAAACAACTTTGGGCTGTTCTATACTCTCTAGTAAACAAGAAATAATAATCACAGGCTTTCATCAATTGCCTGTTGGTGAAAGCCTGTCAATATAGAAGCAATGTTGATATGGTGGAGAAGATTTGTAGCTCAGAAGGATGATTTTGTTGGAATTGCGTTATCTGACCTCAGAAGACGCAATTGCAATAAAAGAAGTAATGTTGGATAAAGAACTAAACAGTTTAAAATGGTAGTAGAATAAGCATATTACCAATTAAAAAGTAATTTCTTGATCCCCACTATTAATAACAAATTCTTAACATTATATTCTTCTGATAAACTGTCGACAAATTCCAAATAAGTCAATTTTGTTGTTACGTTTAGCAGATAAACGATAATGAACTTATGTTTAATTATGTATGGATGAGACGAATGATGAAACAGTCTACTTAATAGATAGTAAATCATATAATTTTAATAACTAATTTATGAGATCAGTATATTCAACTTAATCTATAAACACAATTTAAATCATCATTTGTCTCGGAAAATTTATCCAATAGAGACAAACGTAGAAAGTTTCTTTTCAGAAAAATTCATAATAACTTATTGATTACTTTGTAGATACAAAGTTAAATAGCTAAGGAGTTCATTGAAGTACTGATGTAAATCATGGAGTCTACATCTAAATTTAATACTATGAAAGTAAATATTAGTGAATTTTGTTATACTATTGGTTATTCTATCATTATTTATTTGAATACTCCAATTTTCTAATCATTTACTTCTGCCATCCCATTCTTTATAAAGTATTATGTGTTTTCTCATTTGTTTCAAAGTGAAAAAGTTAGTCTAACCACCTTGGTATGAATAAAACAATCTACTAAAGATATCATTTGTATACATTTTCAAAGATTTTTTCACCAATTATTTTTTTCTAAGCATAAGTATTAATTATATGCTATATGTATTTTCTCATAATTTTTCTCCAAAATTATCACTTCTTAGATGGACATTCAAAGTTAAAGTCAGCATATATTCATCATGTCAACCATCATCATCACCATGGTAAATGTCACCATAAACTTGGTTTGACGAATGTTTATGCGGGTTTAAAATCTAATAAGGTTGGTGATACTTCTACAGTTTCCTTGAATCCTCCTCAATCTCATAATAGCAATCATAAGTTGTGTCTAAAGTCAAAGAATATCATCAGTAATACTGATAATAATAATAATACTAACAATCTGTCAGGTACTGTATCAATATCTCAAGATATTAAAAGTTGTAATTTATTAGAACGTTTTTACCATTTGTACACTAATTTCCATTCAAAAATAACAGAAGATAATTTCTATTACATGGATGAAAAATCGTTAGAACGACGAGTTCGTGCACAAGCATCAAATATAATTTCACCTGTATCCTTTTAACAATACATTATGTCTATGTAGATCATTGATGTTATCTGGAAAAAAATTCGATTAATTCTTAAGTAATAGTATTTGTTATGCATTGTAAATTATAATTGAGACACTTTTCTTTCATAATAATGTAACATGTTTTGTACTTTTTTCTTTTAAATCTTAACAAAATGACACTTGAAAAGAGAGTTCATTTAAAATATATATGTGTGTATCACCTAACAACCAATAATGTTTATCTTATTTTGACACTGTATCTTTAATTTGATTTTACAGTTAGCCATCAACAACATATATATACTATTTTTTTGTTACTTAACAGTTGATATCCCAATTCAAGTGTTTATCCGTATTCTTTCTCTATCTCTCTCTCGATGTTTTTTTCCACTTGTTATGTAAGCTCATTTATATTTTTGCTGTGTTTTTTTCGCTGTGGCTAGCTTTACTATTTGCTATCCCCTATATTGATGTATATAAATTCGTATATAAAACTACGAGAGAGAATTTGTATAGTCGAGTGTTGTTAAGTGACTTTTGTGTTGATGTTCTATTTTTCTTTCCTTTACGCACATTTATATTTGTCTAAATTGTACTTTTGTAAATATATAGCACTTATATGTCTTGTTTTCTCATCCATAAAAATAACATTTCTATTTGACCGAGTAAATCTTCACCTTTATGCTATGGTGAATCTCAATTCCAGTTACTAGAACAGGGTATTTGTAGTATATTCGATCCACTAAAACAGTATTTGGATGTGTAGTTAGATATAAGCTTTGCATTATCAACAAGTAAGGTGCTTCTACAAAATTAACACAAGCCTATATCCATACCATAGTTGAATCGGTCAACGTAGTCTGCATGAATGCTCAGGTTGTTGCGGAACTTTTGTTATCGATGTAGTAGGTCTATTTTATCTTTAGATGAACTTGTGAAGATTTTGTATACTCTGAAGATAATTTCCACCAGAGGTTCATGACACCCGAAGAGTGAATAAAAACCAATCACAAGTGTTTGGTCTTAGTTATTAGTGATTACTTCCATTCAATACGGAATAAAGCCCGGAAAATTCAGGTCTCACGGTATGATATAATTGAATCTATCGACTTTCCCACATTTCTAATTTTAGTCAATTCATGATATACTAAGGTCTTCATACAATTGTTGAAGGGATAAATCAGGTTAAAGAAATCTATTCAGTATTTGATGATTTTAGTTAGTTCTCTATATAATATCAGTTGGTGACAAATATATTATTTTCAAGTGTAGTAATAATCGTTTCTCAGTGCAACAAACGGGAACGGCAAATGAAAACAATGTTCTAGCACTGGTTATACGATTTGTCGATTATTTACATTCATATTTTATTTTCTTTATGCACAATAAATACACATGCTATTTTAGACTCACTGGTCTAATTAACAATTTATTGGGATAGCCCTTTGTGTAATGGTATGAGATAAAAGCAGAATTAATCGTCTTGTGATGTTACCTATTGCTGAAATCATGTGCCTCAAAGTTTTCATCTCTATTTTATAGTTTAAATTTCGCTACACCTACAGGATTCAATCACGGAAACACGTGATTGTGTTTACAATAGAAAATTTGTATAAATCTACATATTTTATCTTTTATATTTGTGTCGCATTTTCGACGGAACATGCCCATTGGATAGAGAAGTTTTCTTAAACATTACCTTATATTATATAATAATTCGGTTTATTATGTGTGTAAGCTTTTCATTCCGATGATACGAGGAGATTTAGCAAATATGAACTCATTCATTGCTCAAACAATGTAAAATGATTTTATTTATAGTTTTCTTTTATTAATTTGGGCGTGTTAATACTGAAAAGTGAATAATAAATGATCCAATGTTTTTGGATTTTTAGGGAAAGGAATTAGTTTAACTAACTGATGTTTGATATTGTTCTCGAAAATTGTGGTCCTTTCTAATAGTTGATTAAACCAAAGTCTTATTGTTGCTTCATTTTAGTCTGCTTAATCTTCTGCATCCACGAACATGAGTAAATTCATATTGTTCACAATCTCAGTACGTATGAAGATCGTTTTTATCTTGTAACGCATACTGCTTTGAGGTCTCAGTCTGGGATCAAATAACCATCCAGTACTCTATAGTTTTCAGTTATGCTCATACTGGTGTTGGGTCTCATTAAAGACTATATAGATTGGAGAGACCACAAGCCATGTAACAAACTTTAGTAAACATTTCCATCGAAATCTTGATAAATTGTATTGGCCTTGACGAAATTACTTCACTTAAGGCAGTGGAATATCGTCTTATTCACTTACTATGGAAAATGTAGCACAAATCCAATACTTTCATCTTAAATTTTGTTAGGTTTCCTATTTCAAGGCAGGTGTGCCTAGTCACTAGTCTTTCTTATAATTCCTTATTGACATGCAATACCCAACCTAACATTGTCATCGTTACACCTGATATTTAGTTAGTGTTTATGTGGAGCGTAAATTGTAAAAATTAGTCTTGTACATCAATGGATCTCAGCTTATCGACCCAGAGTTTAAGCGTTCGCGCGTGAAATGGCCGTTCATTGCCTCTATGTTGTCTAACTTTGATTAGTTCGTGATTTCAATGACATTTCATAACAGTTCAATAGGTGGTCACTTTTTATATAGTTTAAGATTATAGCGAATAACTTAAGAGTTCACACTTACTTATCAACTGACACCGATATTTGGTTAGAATCGTTTCCACTTACATACAATTGTCTACATATTTTCTGTTCAGTTCATTACATACTTTCAGTTAATTTATGATGGGTGTGTGTATCACTTACTTGATAGGTTCGTCCGTAAGAAATGATCAGAAGAAAGTAGTAAGTTTGTTAAGTTTTAATAACTTTGTATGTTCGGATTCTTTGGGATAATTAGACCTTCAAGGACCTATAGTCGAATAGCTTGAAACTGCAATTTTAAACAAGAGAATTTGATCAGCTTTGAGATTTAGGAAATTTATCATTACTTACTAATCAAAGAATATCTAATGTGCAATGTAACATGAACGTTTTCAACGGACTACCATGTTTTAAGAGGAATTTTTTGGCTGATATGAGTAAAAGTTCAAATATGTGAAAAAAATATTTACATGATTTTTAAATTGTTCAATTTTTCATGGGATCAGAAAACTGTCAACTTCGTAATCATTAATTCCCATAAATTGAAGTGGAAATCAATTAAATTTTATTATTTAGTCATGTTAATCAATATTTCGAGACGACCTTACATTTTAATTTGTACTTTTAGTACCTAATATCTCTCTGTTAATTGTTTTTATTATTAACAGTTAAAAAGTTAGTAATATTCCCAAATATTTTGAATGTTTCTGTTTACCTTGAGATACATCACTTCTTCTTCTTCCGTTATCAACAAAGTTAATTATAAAGAAAACTCAAAAAGAACTGAAGAAATACGTAGATTGCTTCCGAAAAAATATCAGTTAAGTAGGGGTTATTAAACTCGTAATTGATTTAAACAGATGTATTTTACTGGTGTGTGGACAAATGAACGAATTTTTTCCCTATTATCCAACTGCAAGATACTACTAAAATGATACTAACTATGCCAAATATCAGAATACTTCAACTGATATAAATCACTTTGTCAGATTAACAGTGAAGAATTAACAATGAAAAAGAATACTTTTTCATATCATACATATGAGCTCACACAAAAGTGATGGTTCGTGATCATTCAGTTATGCTCTAGCTTGTTTTAATTAGCTGTCAAGGTCATCTTCGTAATGTTTTAAATATTGAAAAATTCATTTTGGCGGTTTAGGAAACTACTAATATGCAACTTTATCGTATATCTTTGCATTGGTGCGTATAGAACAAAAAGATTTTCTTGGTACTGTAGCCATTTGTATTAAATACTTAGAAATTATAAAATCGTTTAGATGTGAAAGCTTATGAAATTCAGGGGTAAAAATGAGAGAATTTCTAGGTGAAATATTTTTTTCAAGATATATCAGTTAAACAGACGTTTAGGTAGTAAAACAGATTATGGAGAAGTCACTTAAGAATATTCGATTGTACATTACTGTTGTCAAATTTTAACAATGTAATGTATGTTCAGTCAAATTGTACGCAAACATTTTGCCTCACTGCCTATTGGAGAAACTTATAGAAGCGATTCCTTTATAATATTCCGTTGAATAGTCATATGGAAAAACTTGACTTAACTTCATAAAACTACTTTGAATCGCACACTTTTAGTTTGCTTCGATAAAATGTGCTACTTGATTCATGGAATCTATTGATCAGTGAAGGCACAATCGATATAAACTTGTCTAATAATTTGTTTTAATTTAAAGTAGAATTTACAATTTCGTTACCACAGTTTACAGCTTTTTAGCACTAAATATTCTATTTCTGGAAATCAGTTACAAGTGAATATACATGAACCGACCATCAGTAAGTTATCAGTACTCAGTTTTAGTTTCAAGGATCATTACATTTTATCTAAGAAAATGTGCAGTACTAATGAATCATAAGAATTAATTCGATGTGAAAATACTGAAAGTCTTAGTTTTCACTTTTAGGCGTACACTAATAATCACGTCGAAAAATATTTATGAAATGTATATCGGTTTTAAAAGAATTTATTGAGTCATTTTTTACCGTTATATTTCCCATTGTGTTGAATATTAGACCCCGTTGATACCGTTTCACTTAACTGCTTTGCAAGGTCTATCTCTCACCTTGTGTTTCCTTGACCTTCAGTATAGTTGCTTATGATTTGGTTTTATGTTTATACTTTTTTCAATCGCACCATAACTTTAATGACATGTTTCTTAGATATTGTACGTAAAGTTTCCCTCATTCAGTATTTTCACTTTTACAGATGGTTTCTTGATTGTAGTTGATGTAAGAGATGTAGTATCTACTGTGGTGGGTACATATGTAAAAGAGACATCCACTTTATACAATGTATTGTGTTGTTCAAATACTCCTGTTTATATTGTGAAA